GTGTGGACGCTGCGTGCCTGCCAGTCCAACTTTGCTCAGACGACGAAAAGCATACTACGTGGTAAACCCCCGGCTACATGGTGTTGTAGTCACTCGTGCTTATTCAAAATGAGAAAACAACTCTGACTACTGAAGCCACCGGCAATGACGACACTTTCGTTTCGATACTACTACAAATGAGTGGTGGTGCCTTTTCTCAGCTTCATCCGGAAATGAGGGAGGAAATTGGTCCACTCTGGCGTCTTGTATGCCCCCTTCCGTGCGGCGCGCAAGCCAACGAATCTTTCGACAATAAGAAACAACTTTGCAAACGAATACGCGAATACCATGAGATAGCAGATCGCCCGTGCGTATCTAGATTCCCTTTGTCTAATTGGCAGGTTAGCCACGAAGTTCCATTTCTGTCCTGTTCGTAGGTTTCCGATCACCCCGAAGATCGGGGCAACAATATAGTAAGTCAGTAGAGCAATGGCCATTATCAGCGAGCAGCCTCTCCAAGCCTTCTGCTCAGTGATGTAGGGAAATTGAAGTTCCATCCTGCCAGGTGTATAGCACCAACAACGAAGAAGACAGCAGCTACGGTGCGTGCATGGCCCGAAGAGTCAGATGTCTCAGTGCGTATGGCTGCTAGACTTCGTCGCAGTATGAACAGTATCTATAGTTCTTCCTCTTGCTCTTTATCTTACTGGCCAATGTATTCGCAGGGGCGGAGCTAGGCCGAAAGGGTACGTTTATCTCATAAGGCTTTTCCCACCAGAAGTAGTACATAAGCATCGCACAAGGGATGTAAGTCATTGTACGGAGCTCCAGAGTAGTGAGAGGAAGCTGCTGAATAAATCGTGCACTGCTTTGAACAAGAAGCCATACGAGCTGTATGATAGTCAGGCTTTTGACGAGATTGTCAGCCTTCCCTTTGTCCAGGATGTCTTCTTTTGTACACCATGTCTCTTGGTATATGCTGCTTTCATTGTACAAGCGCAAGACAGCTTTCGCCCGCAAGTATCACAGACTGTGGCCACGGGGATTATCTGCATCTGGAGGCTCGATGGTTTCGACTTCGACAGCGTAGCCTCCCATTTCCGCAAATAATGCATGCGTCATGCTCCAATGTCCTTCGGCAAGGGCAGCTTTGTTCTGCTGACAACACCCCCTTGCCAAGTGCCTCTCCTGATAGGCAAAGTAAATAAAGAGTTCTGGAGTGACAGCGCCGAGCAGCAAGCAGACAGTACGCTCAAGATATCGCTGATGCCATGGAGCCGTTTGATGGGGTATATCGGGATGAATGGCGCTCCAGCAACAGAGGAAATTTGTGAAAAGACAAGGCCATATGATGTCGAGAGTATCGCTATAGTTCGGGGCTGAGTACCAGCCTCGCCTGCCCTCAGGATTCTCGTCAATGAGAGGGTCGCCAGCAGTAGCTGTGACAGTCGCTAAGAACAACGGGAAAAAGCAAAGCATTGTAGTAGGCAGGCGTACAGACGGTGACATTAATGCGCTGTGGTGTTGATCGTAATAGAACACGCCAAGATCATGCTGCTTTTTAAGATGTGGGCAGCCATGCTCCGCTACCCAGCTGGAGGTGTCCTGCAACTGGCGTGTATATGACACTCGCATCCTATTGGTTGCTTTTGACGGAACACGACCACTCAGCCCGCAGGTTCTGAGCAATGATATGTCAGAACATGGCGGGATCCTTGAAAACACCTTCAGTCTACACATGTGCCAGGATATACATACCCAAGGTAACGGCAGAACATCCGCAAGGAACATTCACAATCCTCGATTTCTGCTATTCTCTTTCTCCTCCTTCAATACTTCTAGTAATCTTCGCGTTATTCTGTCACGCTCTCCAACATTGACTGTCCCATATGCCTCTTTCGCTTGTCTGAATACCTCTTCCTCCCAACCATCTCCCAAGTTCGGAGTCCCGATATCGTCCCAACAAGCCTGCACCGTCCCACCGATGTTCTTGAAAAACCCTTCGAGTCCTGCTGGACCTCCACCAGCATGATAGCTCTTGAATGGACCAGCAACTGCCCACCGTGGTCCCATACTCGACTCCACAATGCTGTCAAGTTCCGCTACGGACACGACGCCTTCATTGACGAGATGTATGGACTCACGCAGCAGGGCGAACGCGAGACGGTTTGCAACGAAACCGGTCATTTCCTTCTTGATATGAATTGGAACTCTGCTCCGATCCCGCCAGAAGGCTTCTGTGCGTTTGATGACTGACTCCGAAGTCTGCGGCGAGGGGACGAGTTCAAGAAGAGGCATGATGTGAGGAGGGTTGTAAGGGTGTACAACTAGTAGCCGCGTCTTGTCCTGCATACTTTCGGATTGTTGTGATGCTGGGATACCACTAGTACTGCTCCAAAGTAATGCATCTTTGGGTGCAAATTGCTCGACAGTCTTCCAAAGCTCTTTCTTGATTTTCAGGTCCTCGGGTCCAGACTCCTGGACGATGTGCGCATTTTCCACAGCCTCTTGCAAGGTGGAGGCGAGCTTAACATTCATCGTGTCGAACTGCTCATGTGGGCCTGCTGAGAACTTCGGTAGATGCTTCTGTACGTATGCCGATACATCTGGCCGAGTGTCGTAGACGGTGACGAGGCAAGGCTGTGGGTTCGACAAGTGGAATGCGGCGAAGGAAAGTCCAATTGTGCCTGTGCCGATCAATGTGATGTTGAGCTCTTCCACCATAGCTTCGGCTTCATTCAACAATGCAATAAATGTGTATTGGCTCGCTTTGGAACGTGCATGCGGCTCATCAGCTGTTCCTGCGCAGCATATGGAAATCGATCCTAACCACATTTGGAGGCATCGGAAAGACGCTACCAACCCCGCCCTTGCACCTTATCCCCGCTCCACGATCGACTCGAGTACCGCGAACCGATGGAGATGCGCGCGCCCCGAGGATGAATAATGATGGCGATTCCGATTGCGACCCAGCATTGGCGACCCTTCACCACTCGGCTCCGCCTGAAAACATATCCCATCGCTGTGCCCTGAAATCACCTCGTGCCTCCCGACGTTGATAGCTTCAGGGCAAGTCTTAGCACAAGTGACGCACTGATCTTGCACAAAACGCCACCATGGTCATCTTCAAATCGCGACAGCCTCCGATCGATTGTATTTGTTCCCCCATGTGGACTCAATTCTTCAGAGAGACTGACCCTGGCAGTGCCAACAGAGCTGACGGACTGGGATTGGCTCTTTGACTCTTCGTACTCGCCTATCATTAAATATCAACCAAATGATTTGGCTGGCTTTCAGAATGCCATCACGAAGGAACGAGTCGACTGGGCAGACGTTAAGAAATATTCGACTTATATTTCTACTGCTCTTGTCAGGAAATATGGCCTCAAGACTGGGGAAACGGTGGCGCTCTTCAGCCAAAACACAGTCTGGTACCCCGTCGCGATGTTTGCAGGTCTGCGCGTTGGAGCGAAGATCAGCGGCGCGAGTCCAGCATACAACGTCGAAGAGATGATTTTTGCGCTCAAAACGGCTGATGCGAAGTTTTTAATGACTACACCTAGTAGTATGGAAATTGCCGCTGCAAGCGCGAAGGCTGCAGGCTTGCCGCAATCGAATGTATTCTTGCTTGAAGGAGAACTACCTGGGTACACTACCGTTCAGGACCTGATTCGCATCGGAAAGTCTTATGGAGTGTCTGGCCAGACACCCGCTTTCAAGCTCAAGAACGGCCAAAGGAACAAAGATGTCTGTGGTTTCTTGTCCTTCTCTTCTGGCACGACTGGCCTGCCAAAGGCTGTTATGATCTCGCATCAGAACGTCATTGCACAATGTCTTCAAATACAGCAGATCACACCGGAAACCCAGAAGAAAATTATGGCGGTACTCCCACTTTTCCATATTACGGGCCTTGTTCATCAGATGCATCTTCCGGTCCTGCTCAACGCCGAGGTGGTTATGCTGCCGCAATTTACAATGGAGAAGATGCTAGACACGATCTGCGAGTACAAGTTGGGGGAACTGCTTCTTGTGCCCCCAATCCTGATCAGGCTCGTTCGCGATCCGATCGTTGACAAGTACGACCTTAGTCACGTCACCCGTTTCTCGTCTGGCGCTGCGCCTCTCTCGGAAGAAATTATTCAGCAACTCCAGAAGAAGTTTCCCAATACTGGTTTCAAGCAGGGCTACGGCATGACTGAATCGTGCAGCTGCATTACCGCACATCCACCTGAGAAGTTCTCTTACAAATACGCCCATTCCGGTGGTGCCATTGTTGCCTCTACAGAAGTCAAGATTATCAAGGATGATGGCACTGAAGGTGATGTAGGCGAAGACGGCGAAGTCTTAGCTCGAGGACCTCAAATCGTGATGGGCTATCTGAACAACGATAAAGCCACCAAAGAGACCTTCGACGCGGACGGCTTCCTACATACTGGAGATCGCGGCGCCATCGATGAAGAAGGCATGATTCACATCTCCGACCGTATCAAGGAGCTCATCAAAGTCAAAGGCATCGGTGTCGCGCCAGCTGAACTTGAAGACTTGCTTCTCGGGCACCCGCATGTTGACGATGTCGCAGTCATGAGCGTGAAGGACGACTACAGTGGCGAGCTTCCGAAAGCTTACATCAACTTGAAGCCAGGCGTCGAGGAAAGCACCGCTATTGGAAAGGAGATCATCGCCTACGTCAAGGAGAAAAAAGTTCGGTACAAGTGGGTCAAGGAGGTCGAGTTCATTAATGAGATTCCCAAGAGCCCCAGCGGCAAGATCCTAAGGAGAGTTTTAAGAGATAAGGAGAAGGTAGGGAAATTCGGATTCGTTGTGAAGGATGAGCCGAGGGCGAAATTGTGAGGTTCTGAGAATGCTTGTTGTGGAGCTTGCAGCAAAGCTCTCCGTCCAGCCCCACAGTTCCTCAACATCGCGTAAATTCATTCGAACGCCATTATATGTATTATAGTCTACCAGATTATATCAACATGCGGCCAATTAGAGTGCATGGAGCGCTTCGTAGTGTATCTTGCGGTCTTGTAGTGTAGCTGGTTATCACTCCGGATTCTGATCACCTCAGAATCTTCCGGCAACCCAGGTTCGAGTCCTGGCAAGACCTTTATAGCGTTCTTTTTTTGGTCCTTTTCTTGGTTGGGTGAGGCGGGCGTTGTGGTGGTGAGGTTTTGGTGTTCCTCGGTTCGGAGTTAAAAATCCCTTGGTAGATTTGACAGGGCAACCCAGGTTCGAATCCTGGCAGGACCTTTCATTTTTGCCGTTTCAAAACCTATAACGTACCTCACAAGCGAGCCGGCACTACAAGCGAACCGGCACTCTATGCCAAGACCACACCAAAACCACCAAAACCACGCGATTCCTCTACACAGCGATATACAATCAGAATCAAAAGAACGTCATATACAGGCCGCACTCCAGGCTCTTAGGCAAGACGCGACAATGCCCTTGCAGCGCGTTGCTTCAATATACAATGTCCCTCAAACGACACTACAGGACCATCGTGCTGGCACCCTTACAAGACGCAAATGCGCACCTAACTTAAGGAACCTTTGTCTATTAGAGGAGAGAGTACTTATTATTCACATACTTGACCTTGACAAGCGAGGATTTCCGCCTAGGTTTGATGCTGTAAAGGACATGGCCGATCTGTTGCGCAAGGAGCGGGGCCAACCGCTGGTGGGCATTAACTGGGCTCACAACTTTGTCAAGCGTCAACTTGAGCTTAAGGTCGCGTTCAATCGAAAGTACAACTATAAGAGAGCTCTTCACGAGGATCCTGAGGTTATACAAGGCTGATTTAAGCTTGTGGAGAATATGAAGGCCAAGCACAGTATCCAAGACAAAGACACCTACAACTTTGACAAGACAGGCTTCATAATAGGCTAGATATCAACTAGAGCAGTAGTCACTAGCTCTGAGCATCGAGGACGGCCAAAGACGGTACAGCAGGGCAATCGAGAGTGGATAACTTACCTTCTGATTAGGTTATTAGGGTCTCTAAGAACGGCTGGACAACAAATGAGCTTGGCCTGGTGTGGTTGAAGCACTTTGACGCTCATACAAAAAAAGTACTGTGGGCACAGTACGTTTGCTTATCATCAACGGCCACGAGAGCCATAAATCGCTTGCTTTCTAGCTGTACTGCAAGGATAACAAGATTATCACTCTCTGTATGCCTCCTCACTCGTCGCATCTCCTGCAGCTTCTTGATGTAGGCTGTGTCTCGCCATTGAAGAAGGCGTCTGGCCGCCAAGCCAAGAACCTGATGCGCAGCAAGATCAACCACATCACCAAAACCGAGTTCTTGCCCTGCTTTATTGCTGCTTTGAAGGACGCAATTACTGAAAGCAATATCTAAGGAGGCTTTTAAGGTGCTAGCTTAGTTCCACTTGACCCAGAGGCGGTGATATCAAAGCTTGACGTCCGCCTTTGTATGCCTACACCACCTACTGTCAAAGACGGTCCCTGGCAGTTGCAAACACCAAGCAATACCCTAGAGTTTGGATCACAATCGAAGCTAAGTCAACGAAGAATTCAGAGACACATAGATAGCTCACCAACCTCAATAGTTAAGGCAGTTGAAAAGCTTGCTAAAGGCGCTGAGCTAATGGCGCAATCTCTGGTGTCGATGACCAAGCGCAACGCTGAGCTTCAAGCAGCAAATGAGGCTGCCACGCGACGAAAATCGCATAAAAGAAAGCGAGTGCAGAAGGAGGGGACTCTTACAGTTAAGGAGGGAGTGCGATTAACGACTCTAAGGAGTTTGCAGTGCGCAGTGATAGGAAGAAGGCAAAGAAGAGAGCGCATGCTAACAAGAGCGAGCCTACTCAAAGGCGCTGTGGACGTTGCGGCAAGACTGGGCATAACTCGCGCACATGCAAACAAGTAGAAGAAATAGTCTCTGATTGATATAGAGTACTGTGCAGTATCGTAGAGAACCGTTAAGGTGCGTTTCTACTGTGTGCAAGAGTAGGTTTTGGTGTGGTCTTGGCATAGAGTGCCAGTTCGCTTGTAGTGCCGGCTCGCTTGTGAGGTACGTTATCTCTTGAGGAAGGCTTGATACTTTGACTCACACCATTCGTTCATAACCACCTATACTGCGGAAAGTCATTCTTTCGTGCCCTTCACAACACAACGCCTTCTGCTCAGCAAACCCCGACCCGTACGGCCATCCACGCCAAGTGATCTCTATCCCAGCCAGACGATTGTTCCACGGCCACAGTACCTAACTTGGTACTCTTGCAAACCCGTCCCAGTACGAATAGCACTTCCTCGTTGAGCGAGAGCATGAAATTGCCTAGGCAGCCGCAAAGCATTCCTCAGCTACGAGACCGTTGATGAAGTATCCTAGGGGCCACGGCGGTATCTTCCAGCCTGTTGTGGTCCGGTTCCGCTTCGAGGTATCGCAATGGTGCAAGTGGTATGTGGAGATAAGGTTCAGAGCGTATACGCTGCTGATGTCGAGGGACTCAGCGGGCTGAATGGTGTTGTGGTACAGTAATTGTCTTTTTCCCTCTGGTCGTGGTGTTCATGTCGTTGTTCAGAATTTTCTTGCGCAGACGATGTGTGAGGTCTCCGATATTGTGTAAGGTCATCCTTTTGTTGGTGTTGAGTATTGAGGGAGGTATGCTGGTCTCGTGGCCTTGATATTTCATGACGTTTGCGAGCTCATACATGTTGAACGAGATGTGGAACAGGATGAGCTCATTAAGGATACGTCTCAGTCGTTGTTTTCGAGTCCCTGCAGCCTCGAGCGTGCTGAACGCCGTTCTGTACGCTGGTCTGCGCTTGCAGTCCTCTTGTACGGCGATCATTGCGACGACCCATACGGTGGCCCAAGCTTTGCAGTAGTTGGTGCCCGATCAAGTGGAGGCTCTCTCTTTGAATCGCTCTCTTGCGACACCCTGTATGGCCTCAAAGACTTGTGTGTCTTGGGTCTGCAGTGGATCAAATTTTCTGAAGATGTCTATGCGTCTGGAAAACGGCAAAACGTGATATAGAGCTGAGCGTGCACGAATTGCTGTAGCACTAGTACTGGGCTATATGAGCTTACATTCAGGTCACTAGGCGTCGTAACAATTCGTACCTGGATCATGTCCAGCTTATTCAAACTGACGCATTCACAAGTCGTATATACCTTCTGAGTCTTTTTCGGGAGCGACGAGTAGGAAGTTATCGTCTTGAGGTTTTGAGGTTGCAATAAGATAACGACAACAATCTTGTACTTTTCTGAGGAGAATCGAGCACGACCTACTGATGGATCGTTGGGGCAATCGGCGCGATCCGAGTTTAAAATTTTGTGCCGGAAGATTTCATTCGCTACCAAAGTTGCGGCTATCACGTTTCAAGTGATCTGCTCGTTATTGAACCATGGGTTCGACGTAGTGCTTCAGGGTCTGCTCAACCATTAACTCACCACCCTGGCGGACCTAAATCTGAATGCGGACGGACCAAAGTAACGATATCAATAATAGACCCTGCGTTCTATCGCTGAGTGAGACCGATGACGCTAAACAGGGCCCGCAATTGCGCCTGTGGGTGTCCGTAGGCAAGCGGGCTGTGATCCAGCGCCTTCCCCTATAGATATGTTGATACGAGAGCCTGGCGGTTGTCAGAACATTATCAGCTGGTAGGATGAAGAACCCGTAGCAGTCGTAGTATCTCGTTCGAATCTACAGTCTGTGCCGTCATGCTCGCTTTAAGCGTCTCCTATCTCTACAACCATACTATACAATAAGATACAAACTCGTAATGACACTCGGTCCAATGAACAAGCCGAACCAAAAAATAATGTTCCCAAGGGTATCCTGTCCGCGCATCATCTTCGTCTTCATGAACGCCGCGAGCGGCAATTGCGTGAGCTGAAAAGTGAACAAGTATCCTCGCACCTTCTTGAAGAGACAAAACATGAGCACCTCATGGACAATCGCGCTAAGGAGGAATGTGAAGAAGGTCGCCTGCATCTTAGACAAGTGGAAGAACGATATCGAGGAGTGATAAACGTGCCGAAGCAAGAAGTTGTGCACCGGCCGATTCCAATCGCGCGCGTATTGATCGAAAGACACACTATTCCACCAGTCGCCGTAGAAGCCTCGATCGGCGAAGCACGTGATCTCTGCGAGGACGTTAAGAAGACATTCCCAGATTACATACCAGGACAGCAATTGCTCGAGGAGCATGGGGAAAAGCATGTCGCTAACAACCCACGGGAACTCTTTCCAACGTTCGTCGAGCGACATACCGGCTTCTTTCTGGCGTACGGTCTCCACGACTACTGGGTAGATATATGCCTGGGAAATGATGATCATGACCCAGATCACGCCAAGAGTTGCGGCTGATTTTTCAGCCACGTACCACCAATTGACGCGTTCTTGACGAGGATACTCGAGGTCGTAGATGAGTGTAGGCAGGCACGCCCATTCGACAAAGTTGTATAGAGTCAGATTGTTCGGGTATACATTGTCTGTCGTCGTGCACTTGCCACGAAGCTCTTCGTCTAAGATGGTGATTTCAGTGTTTAAGACGCGGTGAAAAGCCTGGATCTGCTCCGCATCGAGTGGCCTCCGAGCCTCGATGGCGTGGTCTATGGAAGCAATATCCGACACCTCGTTGGACAGATTCGTCGAGTACTTGGGTCCGAAATTGCGTCTATTCGTTAGCTCGCGAGAAGAGAGGTTGTCGAGTCCGGAAGCTACTATAGCGTCGGTAGTGGGCGCTGTAATCTCGTCGCTATGCTGTGCATTCATCCCTTCAAGCTGATCGAGCTTCTGCCGCAATATGTTACGGCGTCTGTACACGCGGGACACTGTCCGAGATCAGCCTTGAACAACCGAGTTATGGGCTCGAGCTTACAATAGCCATTGTAGAATGAGTATGCATGCTGCTTCATAAGCAGGACGAAACAATGGAGTACAATAAAGACAGTATGCGTCCATGGCCACTCGCGCCAGAACGTGACCCATATAACGGTGATGGTGAAGAACGTCTGCCATACAGACTGTATGATCCAGCCCGAGCCATTCCACGATAGATAGTTCTTTGCAATGGCCTTGTGCAGGAGAAAGCCGAAACTCGTAGCAGCACACATGGCCACATCTGTCGTGA